TTAGTATATTACAATATTGTAATGTTTACTCTTAGTCTGTGCCTCTTTAATCAGATATGGGTCCAGATGATATAGTTTGATCTGGTGTTAGATCAGTGTACCTTGTACGGAGACCTGGGACGGGGGGACGGAGATCGATGAATTTTTTCAGCCATGTTTTCGATATCTTCCCATCTTCTAGTCTCAAGTGATTTGTTGAGCCGGGCTTCTGATGCCAGGTCTGAAACCTTGGACTTTAGGAATTCTATCTCAGATGCAAGACTACCGACTTCTGATGTTTTTAAGTCTAACTTGGATTGAAGGTCAATCACTTGGTCAAGGAGCAGGTTTTTATCTTTACGAAGGGAGGAGACTTCATGAGATTTGGCATCCTTGGTGATTTCCACGTCCGCAAGTTTGTTTCGCAGAAGAGTTTCGTTAGCTCGATTAGCTGAAATGTCAGCATCAGTTTCGGCAAGCTTACAGAGATAGTTTTTAGCTTTCTTCTTTTCTTTCGCCACGTTGTCATTGAGGTTATCTATTTCATCTTGAAGGTGCTTATTTCTATATTTCAAAGTGGCAATTTCATCTGAATCCATGGATCTTTGTATGGACTGCTTCTCATATAGTTCTCTCTCCTTACCAAGCTGAACTTTGAGGTCACACAACTCTTCTCTCAAGATTGAATTAGTTTTTGAAGTGTAGTTTGAATCTTCCAAAGCTTTTTCTTTCAAGCTTTTATCCAATTCAGAGGTTACCTCAAGTTCTCTCATTCGTACTCGCATATCAGCCAGTTTTGTTCTCATATCTGTGATGGCTGCTTCTTTTAGTTCTGTTGCCTGAGTGAGATATCTCGTCTCCAAATCACCAAGTTGTTGCTTGAACTGCTTTATTTCCAACTTTTTGTCCACAAGATCCTCTCTCAAATCTTTGTTGGTACCAAGTGTGCGATCTAACTGGTCACGTACAACAGCCAGTCTACTTTTTGTGTCAAGACATTCACTTGTTGTGGCCATCTTCCTCTCTTCAGCTGCTTCCAACTGTATAGCCAGTTGTTTTGTTGAGAGAGTGGTGTCATCCACTTTGTGTCGTAATGTAGCAATCTCATCAAGCAGATGTGATTTTTCAGCAGTTGCTGTTTGTTTCAGGGATTTTAACTCCTTGACATACTGCCTTCTCTCCATCTCAGCAGCATCAGCTTCTATCTCTTTGCGCCTGATCTCACTCTTAAGGGAATCTTGTTCAATTTCAACATCTTTGAGCCTTCGTCTCCATTTGGAAGCTTCATCTGCTGCACTATGTTTGGAGAGGGTATCTGCTTTTTGGGCTTGATCGCGTAAAAAGTTTGCTTCAAGTTCAAGGAAGTATACTTGCTGCTGCAAGTTTTTGATGTATTCACTCTCAACAGTAGCCAGGTCTAATCCAGCTGAGCCCAAAGATTTATTGAGAGTAGAGTTGGCAACATTCTTAGACTTTCCAAAACTAGCACTCCTTCTGAGGGAGCTATTATACTTGGGTGTTGACTTTGAGACAGGTGATCTCAGAGGAGATTTAGAACGGTATAGCGACATTCATCGACTAGAATGTGGTCTGAACATAAATTTAGGTTAGAATAATATTAATTTAAATGAACTCTCCGATTAGAGTAAATTAACAACATAACATAATAGATTAATATAAAAACCTCTGGAATTACCAACACCATGGCTACGGGGCGGGCTACTGAAATCAAAACTAAATACAGTAAAACCTCTCAGTAAAACCTCTCTAGAACCTATCTTCCGATAGTAAGAGCTTTTACTGTTTGATACTCAAGAATTATAAAAACCACCCTACCATGTACCTATTTGTGACCACTTAATCATTTGCAATCATAACACACCATGTACTACCCCTGCTGGATAAAAGTTCGGGAAAATGATGCCTCCCTATGGAGAACCTTAGAGAAACAGTAAAATTCTCTTTTCGACAAATCAAATCAAATCAAATCAAATCAAATCAAAAAATAATGAAACATCATCACATGTCATCATAAATATTCTATAAAAATTAAGTCGTTTTACATTTGGTTGCAATTAGAGAACTCTGTTATCAGCTGTCGTAACTTGCGATAAGAAGTGCTTGTCTTTTAGTGTGATCGTTGTGTGGCCTGATACAAGAACTGTACATTGGAATATACACGATGCAGCACTCATACCATGAACATACGAAGCATTTGGTCGATGACCCCGATAATGAAGATCTGTTTAATGCCAGGCATGCAGATCAGGTAGCAAGAGCTACAAACAGTATTTTTAATGAAATGTGTCACAAACTGGATGTTAAGGAATAGGGAGATCTTGTATTAAAAACCTGAACAAGAGTTCAGTTTCGAAAGAAAAACTGTGTGATTGGCTGCAAACTGTTTGTTTCATTTGCTAATGGCTGCGGAGAGAGTAGATAAACAAAACATTTCATTAATCGCGGAGCAGAAAACTGTCATTGATTTGCAAAAGAAGCTCATTGAAAAGAAGGACGAAGAACTCAAGTATCATAAATGTCAACCAAATAAATATTTCTTTACTGTTTACTGTTTACTAAAATGTCAAAATTACCAAATATTAATTGTATAATATAATATTTTGCTTATTTGGAGAAATGTAGACCTTGTTCAGTATTTGTCAAAATTGATGTTAAGAACCAACAACGATGAAATGAAATATATTTGCGCCAGATACATAATATTATATTCTTATCGGCAGATCGATTTCAATATGACCTCTTTTGTGATTTGAGACATCGATTTTGGGGAAACACTTTAATATGCACGGTTTTAGGAAGTCATTTTAGCATTTTGTATTTTACTGCACAATTTTTGTATTGTGTCTTCGATCTATCAGCCAAAATATTGTTTAGTGAAGAACGAATTATAAAGGCGCAAATTTGTTCAATATCACCAAATGCGCATAAATTTCTTTTTACCAGTTTAACAAATTTTATCCGATATTAAAAAAATTTGATTGACGATGTCAACATATCGAGCATTTTTCATATGAACGTTGTATGACCTTGTATCACATTGTGACCCCACGGTCGTTTCATTCACATAGCCATGTGTTTAATAAGTATTTTGTTTCTCTAGCGTCTAATTTAAACGGGGCATATAATGAAATTGGAGAACTAACTATTAACAATCTTCCTAGTTTTTATGACTACCTGCCTAGAGCAAACACGTCCAGTATTTTCATGAATGACTGTACAGCTGACGAGGTTAGAATGATATTATCTGAACTGAAGAATGGGAAGTCATCCGACATCCCAATACACGTAGTTAAAGAATCGTCTAGAGTGATCTGTCCTATACTATCTTTATTATACAATGAATGCATGAGGAATGGAGTATTCCCAGATGATTTAAAGACTGGGAGAATCAGTCCGATCTATAAGAAGGATAATGAGGAATTGCTGGAAAACTATAGGCCAGTATCAACCTTAGCTGTTTTTGGTAAGATATTTGAAAAAATTATTTACAACAGACTGTATAGCTTCTTTCAGTCCCAGAAAATGATTTACGAGAACCAGTACGGATTTAGAAAAAATCATTCCACAAGCCATGCCCTCAACTCCTCAGTGAATTACATAGAATCCTGTCTTAGCAAAAAACTGCATGTGCTTGGAATATTTATTGACCTATCTAAAGCGTTTGACACGATCTCACATGAAAAACTACTTAATAAGCTAGACAACTATGGAATACGTGGAAACACCAATAGACTCATCGCTAGTTATCTCTCTAATAGATATCAATATGTCTCTGTACTGGGCGAGGAGTCTGACAAGCTGCCTGTTCTCTTTGGAGTTCCACAAGGCTCTTGTCTCGGACCCCTGCTATTTATAATATATGTTAACGACTTATTTAGAACAACTGATCTGGGCAAGTTCATACTATTTGCAGATGACACAAACATATTTGTAGTAGATGAATGTAGAAAAAAACTGTATGAAAGAGCAAACGAAATTCTCCGTTTGTTACACCAGTACATGAAATGCAACCTATTACATATAAATGTAAAGAAATGCTGCTACATTCACTTCAAGCCGTCACGTACAGCTACTGATAATGAGGCAGATAACGAATCAGAATACATACTAACTCTGAATAATACGGTAATAAAGCAAGTTAAAGAGACCAAGTTTTTAGGTGTTATTATTGACGAAAAGCTAAAATGGGATGTTCAAATAAGAGCCCTCAACTCGAAACTTAGATGTGAGATCGGAAGACTCAGTAGAATACGACATGTTATCCCGAAAAAACACCATAAAGAATTGTACCACACGTTATTTGAGTCTCACCTAAGATTTGGAATATCGGTATGGGGTGGGTCGAGTAACAATATGCTTCAACCTATCTTCATCACTCAGAAAAAATGTATCAGAATACTATTTGGTGACCTTGAAGCATATCTAGATAAGTTTAGAACATGTGCCAGAACACGTTGTATAGATGAACAAATCCTAGGAAGGGAATTCTTTGAAAAAGAGCATACAAAGCCGTTGTTTAACAAGAACGGCCTTCTTACCGTCCACAACCTGTACAAATACACATGTCTATTAAAACTGTTCAAAATTGTCAGATTAGAATCTCCAATCTCACTCCTATCTTTACTCCACAGATCACCATCACAAAGACGTTCAGACCAGTTCATCACCCCGAACCCATCCTCCTCTTTCATTTATCAATCAACAAAAATGTGGAACGACTGTCGAAAAATTGACAGTTTGATAAGCTTTACTAAGTCAACAAACTTAGTTAAAGTAACACTGAAAAGTGAGCTACTCAAGATACAGCCCAGGTACGAAGAATTAGAATGGACAGAATTAAACTTCGATAAGAATGAGCTTGTGTTTTAAAACAGAGTCCTTTGACTTGGTTATTTTAAAATTGAAGAATCTTTTGGCCACAACTCACTTCGTTCGCATTATAGATTCACATTCACTTTCACTTTCACCATCACGCACAGTACAGGGTCATACCTCAATACCAAATTATTATAGGGCACAAGAACAAATTTGTTTACAATTATCAAAATTTGTTGAGCCCAGCAGCTTTCCTCTCTTCCCCCGTCGTCTGGAGTGTGTGATTTTTGTCGATGTCCGAGCTCTTATACTTATCATTAGTTTATGGTTAACTTTCTGTGATTGGACTCGGTATTTTCGTCCTGGCCGAGTGGGACGATGCTTGCTCGCCAGTTAAGCTTACTGCAGTAGATAACACTAATTTCTACAAACTGTAGAATATTAAATATAAAATGTGTCCAGTATGGCGCAAATGCATAATTTGATTATTTTTCGACGCTGTCGTCGGGTTGAGAGTTATCCGAAATAACTGCATGCCCCTACGATTGCGTCACCACTGGTGAGCAAGCATTTGTTTGTTGTTTAGTTGTGTTGAAAGGGAACATTACTTGATTAATTCATCCATTCGGATTTTAATAACGATGAGCTATGATATATATACCGTTCATCTAAGATTATTGGATCAATTTTATTATATGATAAGATTTTATAAACGAACTTGGCACACAAAAGATTATAATGCGGAGGTTGGCTGGCTCTTTTATAATAAATACGACACTCCAATTTACAGAATGCTTGTTATAGAATAAAATAAATAAATATTATCAGACTATAGGAAAACAAACCTACGTTCTGCTTTCATAGTTTAAACAATAGTGAGTTCTAAACATAAATATAACAGCTTTAAACCGACTAAGTATGAATGAGTGAAATACCTGACAATCTACACTCCTATAAAAATTAAAAAAGCAAGCATGAGTAACTCGTAGTGATGTATGATTTCTGAGGTTCTGTAAATGCGCAGGGCACCTTCGAGCTTATATTATTCACCTTACTGAGGCAGTCAACCAACGCGCGGCTTTATTTTTATGATATGATATGTTTTGATTGTTATTAATAAATACCAAAATTTAAATTTGTTTTCCTAAAATTTGTTTTCCTGTCTACGCGTACTTGTTTCACAAGTAGATCGAGTAGAAACCTATGGATCAGCACACATAAGATATATGGTACGTGTACGCGCGCGCAGTGCTGACAATAGCGTCGTATTTAACCCCGGCTGCACGTACATCGTGTGCGATGATTTATGCTTATCGAAGGCTATAAATGCCTCTGAATGTTTATTTTAATTTGGTATTGTTCACTTTTAGACAATAAAATAAAGGAACTACGGTATAATAATTGATAATACCGCAGTATAATAATACTGCAGTGCTCCTTTGCCGCCTTCGGCGGTCGCGCGCTACTGCAAGCGAAAGGGCTCTGGTTAGAGCAAGTCGTTTCACTATGTAGAGTTTCTACGATACAGGGGAGCCGCGCACTCGTGCGCGGCGGGTCATACAACGTATGACATATGATAAGTATTACCCACCTGTATTGTAGAAACGCTACAGGACTGAAATGACAATGGGGATCACGACGTGATACAATCGAGCATCGAGATCGTTGCTATGCGAAGCAAGAATAATAGTTTTTGTAGGTTTACAACCTACCAGGACGCGCGCCGAGTTGGACTCGTCGACGGCCCTATTCCAATATATGAG